TATGTCACATAGGTAGATACATACTTTGTTTTAATTTTGGTGTAATATGCATTAGTAGCATGACAATGAATTAATCATTTCACAAGAAACATCCAGATAGGGTAATTGGGCTAGTCTTTCCATACTTTCAACAAGTTTAGTTGAGGTCTCAGCCTCCCTTCTTAGTCTGCTCTTAAGCTTTGCTTAGGAACTTCCCTCTGATGTAACGCTCCATATCTATTTGATAAGGTGGCCAAGTATTCCTGATACTTATTACAGCTCTGTTGGAAAGTTGCTTAAATGTTATTCAACTTAGTCCTTTTAAATAAGCAGCAAGAAAAATAGCTTGATATTCACTTTTCCATTCAATGACTTTTGACTTTATTTAAAAGTATGACTGATATTCCTCCCACAATACCTTTCTGTCATGTAAAGTTGTTAGTTTATTGAGCAGTGTTGTTGAAATGACCTGCTCTTGCTCCGTCCCTTTCCCATGACTCAGTAGTTAGTGTAATGGCTAATAAGGCTAAAAGTTGGGACTTGATACCCGTGGTGGGCAGAGTGCAGACTGCCCAAATTATAGCTTTTACATTTAAAATACTCTGTAATTTGATGAAGAAATAGGTAGTTGAAGTGGTTCAGGAAATTTTAGCAGTCATAGATGGCACATCTAACAGAAATTTCACTTACTTGCTAATTTTTTATCTCTGTTTCTTCAAACACAATATTCACAGCACTCAACTAATTAATTGGCTGATAGTACAAAACTGATTAAATCATGCATTGATTACTCATGAAATAAACTCGCCAACTCACATTATATATATATATATACATGTATATATACGTTTCAAGAAAATTGCTTCTTAGACATTGAAGAAAGTTACAGGCATTCATGCCATGCCTATTATGTCAAACTTTCTTCTGGCAAGACAACAGTAAAAACTTTTAAATTCGTCTTGATTAAAAAATAGCAAATACAATGATCAGTAATTACACCAAATTACTAATAATGAAAATCAGATTTCTTTTTTCATCGTGTGTGGATCACACAGTGAAAAGTAAAATACATAATGTTACGACAGTCACGTGACGCTGGTAACACGTGATGAATTTCTCGAATGATCATGAATTGCCGGGGAAGACCGAGTTTGTTCGAGACGCCCTCTTTTTTTTAATATATAAGCCTTGCAGAGAAAGCCTGCGAAAATAAATGTATGATAAAGCTAAAGTTCCTCGGTAAGAATTTCTACCGTAAATTAACAAACAAGCAGATACGTAACAATCATCATATCTTTAAATAGTACTAACTGAAGCATATCTGTACTTTTTATTTATAAAGCTGGTCTTTTAAATAACGTCCTTTGCTTTTTACAGGTTCCTCTTGATCTTGGCTAGTTCTGAATAAGTCTGGTGAAGCTCTGAGTTTGCCTTGAACTGGTCAGTTCTTGTGATTATAGTCTTAATTCTGGCATTTGACATATGTCTCTCTACAATTTGCCACCTAGGCCTGTAAGTGATGCTTGATTCTCGTGGTTTAATAAAAAGTGTAGTGTGATTGGATTGATGTTAACACTATTAGAAATTCTAGGTGGTATTCAGGATTAGTTCTCAGTACAGAAAGTACATTGATGATCCAGCATCGAAGATTATTGCCACCCAAAATGAAGACCCTTCCTCGTGTTTTTAATGTCTTGCAGAGTTGAATTCCAAGAAGATATTCGTTTTCTTGAGTTTGGGAATATAATAATTCCACTGTAGGTGGCCAAAGAGTATCATTTTGATGGTTGCACATTTCTCCACAAACATCAAAGGTAATTCAGGGGTGGTGGTGGTAGTGCTTCTTCATCTTCTGTCAAAAAAGAAGCAATTGATGGTGATGGCTTTAACTACACAGCATATACGTATGGCTTAAGAATGGAAAGCGTGAGCTTCTTTAGATAGTCCTAGGAAAAGTTGGTGGTAATGTGAGAGTCTACCAGTTCATGGACTTTAGAATAAGGCTTAAATCATTCTGCCATTGTGACCAGGGGTCATGGGAAAACCTGATGTTGTACATAGTCCAGGGAGGGGTTAGCCATGGCAATTTGTTATTTTGTGGCTCATGAGGGAATATCTGATGTTCTTCTGAACATAAGGGTCTCCAAGAACACCTGCTACACCATATTTCTTGATAATTAGGTATTTCAGCATCTCAGACTGGTCCTGAACAAGGCTCCCTGAGAGAAAGACTGCCCATGCAGGTCCATGTGTGTGACTTTATATATTTATAGCCTTTCTATGATATTTATGTCATATCAAAAGCTTTTATTTGATCGAGTTTGTCAGCTCAGTTTGGAATATTAAGTTTATGTTCTCGACAAAGTAATAAGAGATGCGCCATAAGTTGTGTTGAAGGCGAGAACTTGCGTTTATTAATGAGCATTATTTCAGCTAATCATAAAAACATTTCGACAATAGTTTTCAGAATAATAATAATAATAACTTACATACAAACATGAATAATATGTAATAATTATTTTTGAATGTTCGTTTGATTTGTTTGTTTTGTAGTTAAGCGCAAAGCTACACAAAGAACTATCTGTGCTCTGCCCACCATGGGTATCGAAACCCGGTTTCTAGCGTTGTAAGTCCGCAGACATACCGATGTGCCACTGGGGGCAATGTTCGTTTAATGGATTTTTATGGAGATACATATATATGAAAATCATACTTTGGGAACAAATAATTGAGTTATTTTAATTTTAAAAACATTACTCCTGACATAAAAAAAGAACAAAGTAACGTTTTAAGTATATGCATTTCCCTGGATGTTGTGTTTAAAATAATTACATTATTATAATCGACATTAAATATAATATTTGGTGTATTAATAATGGTTGGAGACGGCTTGAATGGGTAATGAAGAAAAACTTCAATATAAGTTTAACATAACAGCAAATGTACAATGTACAATACATGATGATGACAAAACCTTGTCGAAACGTTGTACACTTGCTGTTAAACTTATATTAAAGTTTTTCTTCATTACCCATTCAAACAGTCTCCAAGCATTATAAAGAAATATATGGTAATCGGCAGCACCCAAATAACTGAAGTGGCTACTCTTTAATCATACAGTGGGGTCAGTTTTCTACTCTTATAACACACCCACAGCTAAAAGTATGACTCAAATGTTGTATAATAAATTGTGACACTTTTACATCTCTGATGTTTTATTTTATTCATGGAAGATCTGATATACAAACCATACACTTTCTAGTTTACCAGAAATCTCTCTCTGTTAGTCTGTATTAACTTTCAGGTCAGAAATTAAATGAACAAAAACAAAACTAAAACTACATTTTCTTGCTTTCAACCTCTTCCATAGAATTTTGTTTAGTAAACACTAATACAATCTTAATCAGTGATAATTAAGAATTGATTTTCACTTACATTAGTAGTTATCTGGAACTCACTGTATGTGGTGTATATTATTTGGAAAGAGTTCAAGGATCAGAAAAGAACTGGAAATAGCCTCTGCAGATTAGGAGGCATTACTCTCATGGTAGCCATGCCCTTCCTAACACAATTTCTGTGAGAGATCACTTCAAACTGGCCTTTATAGAGAAAACAGTCTGCAGTGAAAGGTGTAGTGGCAACTCCACCAACAAATAGTGCAGCTCAGGTGCCTCCAAAACAGTGGACTACTCAAACTGGAAGATTAACAACCAGCCACCTCCACATGATGGAAATGAAAGGCAACCACAAGGATCTCCAGTGAGTGGGCAGGGCTGTGCTGATCCTCCCATGGGTGCATGCTGCATCAAGGTCCATTCACAAGATATATGCCAATAGGGACGTGCTGTCATAAGGAGAATACATTACCATATGGTCTGCCCATGTGATATATACCACAGCCATGACCCATTGAACCTGAATCTCATCCAGAATTGGAGGAGTGAAGCATCTGCTTCTCATATGGACTTCTTGGGCACAGGCAATGAAAATGCCTGAACTTAGTAACACAGCAAAG